TCACATGCCAAAGGAACATTCCTTACCAGACTTCTCTTCACCTCTTTTGCTCACTTCGAAGCAAACGTTGCGACTCGGTCAGCTGATCGAAGATCACATGGCAAAGGAATATTCCTGAAAAGACTTCTGTTCACCTCTTTTGCTCACTTCGAAGCAAACGTTCCGACTCGGTCAGCTGATCGAAGAGTGCAAGTGTTGATTGGTAGAGGGTTTGGTGGAAGCGTTTAAGCTTCCGTGACCGATAGCCACTTCCACACGCGAAGGAATAAGAAGAATTATGACAGGTTTGAAAGTAGAAGAGTGAGGACGGAAAGTGATAGATATGCGGAGTCATCAGAAAAGAGAATATTCGATTTTCTGTATCAAGTGGAGTAAAGTAGTTATAATGATCGAAACGCTTTACTAAAAATGTGCAACATTACTTTATTGAGTAAAGTTCTTGAGATTTGAACTAGCTGATAGTTTCCAATCAAATGACTTTTGCATTATCGTCAAGAAAACTCTTCTGAAAAAATATCTTCCCATGTCTTCAAACTTTTCTCAAAGCTTATTAGATACCTTGTAGCAAAAAAGTCAACAGATTTATAATTAGTCTCTTCACAGTGATACACAAATCAATCCATCAGAAATCAGTGGTATACAATACCGACTCATGCGAAAAACACACTTTCTTTCCTATCGCATTCTCAGTTCACTAAACTTCGACTGTTGTATCCCATGACGTTTGTTCATCAAATCCGAGCAACTGTTAGATTGTTCAAAACTCAATGCACATAGGATTATCAAAATTTTATGTTATTTTCTCAACACAATACAACAGAACAGAAATACATTGGATTTATTTTTTTAAGAATTGTTTTTTCTCATTAGTCACAACGTTGTTTGATTTTTAAAAGGACAACATCGATATAGTTTCAAGTGCTTTATTCAATGTCGTATGGTTGTGTTTAAACTGAAATTTGCAGGTTTGACCGTGTTCTTAAATTGTTGAATTAATAGCCGTCGTCGACGAAGTATTCTTTCGAAAAAATTTTTCGTAACACCACTCATCGATTCAAGACAAATCAAAGGAACGAGAAAAATGACAAAATAACAAAGAAATGTGAAATACTGGGTCGCTTCGACTCCAATATCATTTGATAAACCACAAAAGTAAGCGATGTTAATAATACTGAGTGGAACGTTGAAGGCCATGTTAAGAGAAGATAGAGACATGAGCTGTACTGTCATTTTGCGGTGCTTGCGCCATTGGATTGGTAAATGAGAATGATGCTTCTGCCAAAGGACCCGAAAAAAGGAAAGTCAGACTCAGCAATGCTTCGAGAAATGTTGGTGATGCAATATTGACAATCCAATTCCATATGCCCATGATCGAAACATATGCATAGCATGTGAATCCACCGCCGAGTGGCAATGCGTCGTCGAAAGTATTTTCACAAGGAAAATAATAAATGGCATAAATACAATAAATAAAAATATATAGGATTAAAAAAAGTAATGGAAAATAGTGTATTATGATCCGTCTTTTTCTTGTTGAAATCCATTGATCATGAAATACGATAATATGCGTTCAAAAGCAGTCCAAGCCATAAGAATGGCTCCTCCACCGTACATACCAATATTCATAAACTACCACAAGAGACAAATCGATGGGTTCGATGGAACAACGCTCGAATGAGCAATAAAATTGAGGGTGGATGTGGATGTGGGTATGAATGAAGACAAGAATCGAACATATAGTCACACCCACACCCACACCCTTCAAACAGTTGCTTCACCAACAAATCTTATTCACAATATTGTTGCATGTCAACGTACAGTCAAGCAATATGGTAAAAAGAGAATAAAAAGAAAGGAAGTGTTTTAATGTTTTTTTTCAGATTTATTACATCGTTTGTTGGTCATGCTTACAGTTATAACTGTTCCTACTAAGATTATGACTGAAGTGAGTTTAGCTTCATTATTTGAATCAATATAGTTTCCAATATGTGTAGACTCTTAATACAATTGGTGATATTATTCGTGAAAATGCTGTCAATCAGAAGTTTGTTGGTTCTATAGTGCACACGTCTGGTGTAGTTCAGCAGTAAATAAATCTCCAGATATTCTGAATTTGTTATATCAATTAAGTTTTTTCTAGATCTATATTATTCAATCTTTTATATACAATGGTTGGTGGTGAAACACAATTACTTTCACTTCGAATATCAATTCTTTATTTTCTTCAATGTTATTGATATAAAAATGAGTCTGAAAAATCAAAGATTATTCAAAAGCTTTTCTATCAAACTGAAAATGGTTAATTATTTTTCAAAAACAAAAAAAAATATAATTGTTTTGATTTCATTTAGCTGCTAATAAACATACGTTAGGTCATTTATTAACAACTGGTATTTTAAGTAAAGATATTGTTTCATCTTGGTGTTCTTTTATTGCACTTTCACATTTAATTGCTGATAGTCAAGAATCTAAAGAAACAATACTCCAAGTTAAGTTGCCGGTTGATCAAACACCAACAGATGCTGAAACATTAATGGAAATATCATTTGATTTATTAACAAATGTAATCTAAAAAAGATCTCTTTTTTTGTAAATTTCATTCTTTTTTCATTATTGATAGGCTTCATCTTTATGTCATACTCGTATTGCTATACTGATTTTTATATGTACATGGTTATTAAATAATTCATTAGCAGTACAAACATTTCTCTCAATTGACAATACCATTTCATATGTATATAAACTTTTTATAAAAAGAATTGTTTTGAAAAGTTTTTTTCTTTTTTAAGCTTATTTCACAAATACGTACTCAAGCAATTGCAAATGATCTTGAAATTCTTATTCAATCATTATGTTCATTTACATTAGGTTTATGTTTACGTTTCAATAATAATCAAATATCATCATATTCAATGTGAGAAAATTATGCTCTGAGAATATCTTTCAATTGTTCTTTGTTTCTAGTGGATCAATAAAACAAAAGATAATAGAACATATTGGTTTTGAGATTATTTAAAAAAAATTTAGAAATATTTGCACAATCTAAATATTATTGTAATGCTCAACAACAAATACATTTAACAATATCAGAAGCTGATGAATTATTAATTGATCATAATTTTGCACAATTATTTATTTAGTCAAAAGAATTAGTTATGTCAACATTAACACCAGATGGAGAAATCAAACATTAATATTTTTTGTGCAAAACATCATCTGGACCAAGTTGACTTTAAAAAAAAGAAAAAAAGATTTTTTTAAATATTTGTATGTTTTTTTATTACGATCTGATCTAATGATCAATAAAGAAAAATAGATGAACGAAAAGAAATTGAATTAGAATATTTATTCTTCTTCGTAGTTTTTTTTTTTTTCTAAAAAAGATAACCAAATAAATTTAGATTAAACCTTAACAGCTAACTTTGTAGCATCACTGTATTAAAGTAACTTCATTGACTAGATAAATCCAACTTTGATCGAAAAGAAAAATGTTGCCTTTTTTAAATAGGCATTAGTAATACCGTGACATGTCATAGAAAAAACAGCTCTTATCGAAATTTTATTATTATGATGTTAGTTGAAGAATAATGTAATAGCGTAGAAAAATAGAGCGTCGTTTTTACTATCAGTTCATATAGAGAAAAAGTTTCTTTAAACTTTTTATAAACAATAAAAGTACCTCCACCATTACTTGTGGATTGCCTTAAGTGTTTATCGAAAAAATAAACAAAAAAAAGAATTATTTTTATTGTCTAAGTTTCCATAAGGTCATTTTCGTCAATAGTTTCTTTTTTACATTAATTAAAGAACTTTCTTTTACAAATAATAACACATCAAATGCTTCTTGAATTGCATGTAGATATGGATATTAATTTCTATAACCACCAGCATGTTCAACTGGTTTTTCTTGCCATACATGATCTAAATAACTATAAAAAATAAATTAATTTAAATAATTAAATAAGAAAATTTTTATTTTTTACTCAAGTTGTTCAAGATCAGTTTTATCAGGTATTGAAGGTCCTTGATGATCATAAATAGATGGAGTATATTCAAATAATCTTGGTTGAATTTGATAATTTGATAATGAAATAAGGGGAAAATTTCAACTCGTCACGATTTTTGTTTTCTGGCTTTCCTAACGAATTGACAGTATGAAAACCCGAAACAGAGGTTTCGCAACGACACAAGGGTGTGGCACAGTGGGGAGCCAGGCGCACATATGCGAAAATTTTATTTTCCAGAATCTAACCGTTTGGGTAGATACATGCATATGTGATCTATCATTTCCTAAAATAGCGGTTCTCAAAGTTTTATAGAGCCCAAGAAAAGAGCCAGCCAAGGCTTGGGCCTCGAAATCAGCATAAATGAAAAAGTCAAGCCGTTCGGCAATATAACATAATATTCCACAAGCAAACAATATCGCAAAAACACTTGCTCACCTATGGACTTCATGATAAAAAAAAATTATCGTAATCTAATTTAAAATAGAGTAGAAAACAAGGAGTCTCTATGCCGAAAACCTACCGTTCCGTATATTAAAAACCCTACAAAGGGATAACGTCCGATCGAGCTGAAATTTTTACCAGGTACTCCTGGATATGTATCCTAATTATGGTAGTAGCGTCAACTCGTGAAACATTTCCTAGGCTATTCTACAGGATTCTCAAAAACCCACGGTTTTTGATCGAAAATCCGGCTTTAGGCTTTCATATTACGTTTTAAAGAAAAACTATAGTGATATTTGGAGTTAGCTCGTCGAGCTGCATCAGACAATATATAAAAAGAGTCACGTTTGTGGAAGTTATTTTTTGATAGAATTTGGCGGAAAACGACCGATACAGGTTTTTGACAGAAAAATCCAGTTTTAGGGATTCATATTACAGTTTGAAGAAAAACTAAGGTGATATTCGGAATCAGCGCATCAAACTACATCGAATGATATGTAGCTCAACATATTTTTCAAAAGAAACATTTTTCGATAAAAAAGGCTGGGGTCCCCCAGCCATATTTTTTCGCAAAAATTTTTTTTCTTAAAAAATCTTTTATTTTCTTAAAAACGATTTTCTGAGTGGTATACTGTCATTTCGAGTCAAATGAAAGCCATTCCTAAGCAAAAAAACCGCTTGTCCGCCTGCTTATGCGAAAGCTCCTCACTGTGTGTGGGTGTGGGTGTGGATGGGTGTCGGTGTGGGTGTGGGTGTTTGTGTGGGTGTGTGGGTGTGAGTGTGGGTGTGGGTGTGTGGGTGTGGGTGTGGGTGTGCGTGTGGGTGTGCGTGTGCGTGTGGGTGTGGGTGTGGGTGTGGGTGTGGGTGCGGGTGTGCGTGTGGGTGTGGGTGTGGATGGGTGCGGGTGTGGGTGTGAGTGTGGGTGTGAGGTGGGGGTGTGCAAGTCAGTTGGTTGCTTCTTCACCAATACTCACATCTTACACGCCCACGCCCACACCCACACCCACACACCTACACCCACACCCACACTCCACCCTATCATATGTCTATTTCTTTTCTGATTATAACTCTTGCGAGGGAAGGTCTCCAACTGAACAAACACTTTTGCGTTGAGACTGTGTTCGTTATGTAGATATAAATGAGCTATAAATACGCTGAAAAAAATTCTGCTTTTAGCTTATTACTATAGCAATGCTGCACTTTGACGGTATGTTTTGAAATGACTACCATTATACTCCTCAGCAACACCAGAAAAAATGATTTTCGATTTCGGCTTGAAACTTGACTTATAAACAGACCTTACCAAGAGTCGAATTTTGTGAAAGTTTCAGATCCTTTTGCTGTTTCTATATGTAGATACAACTATGGTAAGTTCATTTGAGACCTATTAAATTACGAAACACAATAATGACCAACTAAGTTGTTATTATTAGGACAAAAAGTGATTACCAGAAGTTGTAGCCACAACAAAGAATCTAACTCAAATTCACTATTGTTTTCTGTTTCTTGTTGAGTTTCATTCCAGAGACTTAGTTATATGGCTGACTGCAGAATGTGTTGTGATGATACCACGTGTTGTGCTCTTCTCAAAGGCTTCTCCTATCAGTCGGCCTTCCAATCTCTGGTTGACGCCCAATATGCATTCTTGTTTATTCTGCTTTATGAAGTTATCCTTCCATAATTTTGAAACTTTTAGTGATGGCAAACAACCAAAGTTCGAGCGATAAGGAAGGCATTTCATTTGCTAGCGCCGAAACCTCTCTGTCACGTGTTGTTCGCTTTTGGATTTTTCTTCTATTTAATGTTCCATCCACCATTTGTGCACTCTTCATTCTTTTCTGTGCCGTTATTGATCGAAAATTACGCTCTTCTGTGAAGAACCATATTCTAATTGTTTTGCTCATTTTTGGCTTGGCTGCTCAATTAATTGATGTTTCTTTCTATCTCAGTTTTATCGTACATTCGAGTGTTTATCCGCCGAATAAATCAATATGTCTTTTGTAGTGGTTTGTCGATATTGGTATATACAATGGAAGAAGTATACTTATAGCATAGGGCGCTCTCCAGCGACATATTTTTGTATTTCACGATCGATGGCTTTCAACGAGAACGAGACGCATATTTGTACACTATGTGCCATTGCTTCTTTTAATTTTGTATATTTTCATTTATTACATTTATGCCATTTATTATTTTCCTTGTGAAAATTCTTACGATTATACACTACCATACTGCAGTACATCTCGGTGCTTTCAAAGTGATCCAATTATGGGCATGTGGGATTGGGTTGTTAATACTGCTTTACCATCATTTCTCGAAGCAGCTTTTAGTTTTGCTTTTCTTTTTCGAGTCATCTGGCAAAAACATCGTTCTCATTTACCAATTCAATGGCGCAAGCATCGGAAGATGGCAATTCAGCTCATGTCTATGTCGTCTCTTAACTTAGTCTCCAACTTTCCACTCGGTATTAGCGGCATGGCACATTTATTTGGTTTTCCAGAAGATATTGGAGTCGATGCTGCACAATATTTTTTGTTTCTTTGCTATTTTGTCATATTTCTTTTCCCTTTCATCTGTATGGCGTCGATAAGTGATGTGAATAGAATATTTCAAAAAAGAATACTCTCTCGACGACAACAACTTCAACGGTTCACGGCAACAGTCAAGCCTATGGATTTTACAATGACTATGACTATGCAGCATTAAGTGGAACATTTTGAAACTCAATTTGTGTTGTTTCTTTATTAATTTCAACAATTCTCAGATCAGAATGAGAAAAATAAATTTTAAAATCAATAGATCATTGTGTTTCTTTAATGTTATGTTCTGTTAAAGAATGAAGGGTGTGGGTGTGGGTGTGGGTGTGTCTCTTTTCCCACATATTACGACCCACACCTACATCCACATCCACCACCATCTACACCTACACTCACCCAAGTCTTGGATATAGTTGCGAGCGTGACTCTTCTCGTCACTCCCACCGACACACACCCATACATACTCACGTCCAGACTCCACCCTCAAGATTAAACTTGAGCTACGGATTAACAATGTATGGGATCTGTTGCAAAAAATGTGATACAAAATGTGTCACGTTTTACGATTCTTGCGTCATATTGATTTCTATGTGCACAGCTTATCAGGAAGTTCAAAAGCAGAGACTTGTACCATGAGAACGTCGTAAATTTGCCAACCTAAACAAAAGTCGTTAAAAGATAATATTTTACGATCTGTATGCATAATGACTGCATGTGTCAATATGGAAAGAGAAAATTAACCAAAAGATTTATGATCCAACATAAAAGGAACATCAATAGTTGTATTACAGCACTTTTATGTCTGAATAGCGCAAAACATATCTGTCGAAAAACATAGCATCACTCAAAATAATCGATCTAATGTACTAATGACTTCAGCAAGAGAAGAAGGTTTCTGATACAAATTTCATCGCTTTCATATCAAAGCTAGAGAAGAACCTGAACCCGTTTTGTACGAATTAAAACTGTTTCGTGGAATATCGCTCCTCTTATGATTTGCATGTGTTATTATCGATACAGTTGCCTATTTAAAAGAGCTGAGATGACTGTCATTAAAACTATTTTTTTGGTATTCAAGCTCCTGTTTACGATATATGAACTGTTCTTTATGCATCTGGTTCGGCTGCATTTGGTATTTCGTACGAAATTTATTCACTTTTAATGATTTCTATCATCAATTTTTTTATGGCACTTTACAATTGCGATATAAGACAAAAACTAATTGCTGGACTTTGGATAGTTAAATCAGTGTGTCTCATGGCAGCAACACAATTATGTTATTATAATTTTGCAAGGTTAAAGGCTTCTCAAAAGAACTTTTCGCAAGCGACGAAATGCATGTTGAGACATGCGCTCATGATTGCCGTCACAATGATATTTCTCATGGCTCCCGGTATGCGAGCTGTTTATGATGCTATCATGGGTGAATGTCTGTACACAGTTACTCGTTGCAATGTAATCGAAATGTATGAACCGCTTTTTAAAAAGACATGTTCATGCGAAAATAGTTACACTCAATATATCGTCGGACGAGAACAACTACGTATTTTGAGAGATATTCTACTCATTCATATTGTCTCTTATGCAGTATACAATCAATCGTTTCTCACAATTACACGGAAATGGTTCGGTAATAAATTTCATTATATTTGCCGCTTGCTATTACTGTTACTCTTTGTTGTCATGTCGATATCAGCTGTCATTGCACATGTGATTCCGTTCGATTTTCCAAAAATGCAAATCAAATTAATATTTGACATTATTGAATTTATTATCTTTCTTATCGGCATCATCCTGTTGTGGTTCTACTGGTCATGAATAGAATTCAGAGTTATCGAAGAAATGTGCAAATCACCAGACGTAATGCTTTAAAGCTTTGTACACTGCTTATTTACGAAAAAACTGTTTGTCTTGTATGGCTAGTACACTTTGAAAAGCGATGCGAAGTAAAAACGTGTCGTGTCCACAGTTATGTCATGACTCACAGTCATTTGATGTTTTGTTCTGCGTCTGTAGCGACATATAATTGGCAGAACTGAATGAGCGGTTTTCATACATTTCAAGAGTCTTTTGTTTTTGATTAATTCTCGGACAGTAATCACTTGACAAGACTTTGAGAACCTTGCAATCAGGATCAAGTTGATTAGACACGTTCAATATCTTGAAGTTCGATTTTTATTATTCAATCGTGAACATGAGGCAATACCAATATAAATTCATATTTGTTGACAATCAAAGTTGAAATTAGCGCTTGGTTACCGTACACCGCTACGATGATGGTTCGTATATATCACGTTCAATGCGAATCATAACAATCCTGCAATCATAGCTACTTCGCAGAAAAAACTAGGTAGGTGTACAAAACGACCTAATACATATGCAGATGGCCTAACTACGATCATCAAAATCTGAAAAACTAATGCTCTCGTAGTTAGTCAAACATTGTTATGAAAATCAGTTTTTGATGTAGAACTCGAAAAAAAGAATAGTTTGAAAACGTGAAAACAAGGATAAAAAAGAAACTTTGAACTGTTGTAAAAAAATAAGCATTTTTCGAAAAGAATCGACCTTTTAAGTTTTTATGATTAGAAGGCGAGTGGGTGAGTGTGAGGGTGTGAATAGCGACCGAGAATTGAAAATATCCAAACTCACACTCCACCTACGTCCACACCCATCTGCAACCAGAATAGACTTTAGTCCATACAGATTCTAGTGGCTTTTATGCTTTATCTATCTTTGTTTGAATAACATAACGTCAGCTAACATGTTCATATCGTGTCCGTAAAAACGAAGAAAAAGTAAAATAATAAATGTAATGTATAATAAAAGGCAAACAACTTTCAATCAGCCAATCTAGGAAAGAGTTCAATTCAAAATACACTTCTGCGAGGAAAAGGTACAATGTACTTATGTAGTGTCAACCCAAGGTTATCAAGAAATTGAATGTGAGTAAAAATTCTTACGTCATTTATATACTTTTGAGAGAGGTTTTCGATTAAGAAATCTTGGGATATATAAATGAAGTTCAATAAATATTGAGCTCCCGTAAGACAATCGACGATTGATCATTTCCCTACTTAGCTACACCTTAAGAAAGTGAAAATATAACCAGGGAATATTGTTCACATAACAAAACACTTTTCTATTCGCTTTGATAACATTATTAATCATTTATTATTGTTATTATTATGTTCATACGATATAATTGTTAAACTGTTTTTTAATTGACAAACGATTCTTACTCTATAATATATTATAGCAAATGAAAAAGAATCTTCAAATGAATTCTCCAAGTTTTGTCATTTGATTTTATTGGTTGTATTAAAATATTACAGCTCATCTTTATTTGTAAGATGAACGCTCTTTCTACACATCAGCACGTTCCTTGTCTTTTTCAAATACGTACTTTCTTTGATTTCATTTTTTATGTTAAAAAACATAATGAGATATTCTATGAACCGAATATTAAAATTTGTATATTTGATAATAAATACTTCATAACATAGACAAAAAAGAAAAGATTTGAATGTATATGACGTAAAATTTTGAAATTTTGAATAAGTTTTGATCAAAACACTTCTTTTATTCAATCAATTTTTATGTAGAATAATAATTATTATACTTTGATTCTGTATTGTTAAAGATAAGTATTTTCTTGATATCTTCTTAACATAATTTCAAAATACTGATTAGAAATTGATGATGAAACCATATATTGGTTATTAGAATACATAAAACCAATATGACATTACATAAAGATTAGAGAAATATATAAAAATCACGCTTGCAATTTGATTATTGCTATTTGTTTTTTAAAATAGTATTTAAGATGGATTTTACTTCCATCATATAGCTTCTAGAAATGAACTTGATAATTTGCAAAATTCTATAAGTGGTCAATGTATGTAAGCTTATTTACGAATGCTACAATTAGAATCAGGAATATTCATCGCAAGTATCCTGCCATCAGGGTGTGGGTCAGAGAGGGACAGCTCTGACTTCGAAGCGGCCGCTCCATGGAGCTAGCTCTGTTCCAGGAGCGGAGCGGAGCAATTCGTCAGAACGGTGAAGCTGCCCATCTCTGACCACAGCGCTTCACTCAAGACCCATGCTTGATTATCTAAAGTTCAAAGACACTACGATATGCCTAGTTATGCTGCGTCTTCATTTGATTTTCAAAAATATCTTGAAAACGAAGTATGACTATCATTTAAAAACACTTATATTGGCCGTTGATCTAGTCGAGTTACGTGCTACACGGAGCAAGCGAATGAGGGAGTGACGAGAAGACTCTCATCCATCGTAGTTATGGACTATGTTCATTGAGGCGTTAAAAATAAAAAGTCTGTGTTGCATTAAGAACAGACACATAAAGGTAGATTCTTTTGAAAAATCAAAAAACGTTGCTTCCTCACTATTTCAAATTAAAGAAAAAATAGATCTTCATTGTATTCTCTGCATTGTATGAATCAACCCTTCGAGGTGAAACAATGGTTAACTAATACGCAATACTTTATTTGCGTCGTTTTTACTCAATGATGATGTGTTTGCACACGGTATCTTTAAGTAGTTTCTCTCACTAGAGTTGTAAAAGTTCTCAAAGCAATCGGCGAATGGCGCATTTTCTCCATTGTCAACAATAATTTTTTTTCTCTTACTGACAAAATATACTTCACAAAATCAATAGTCAAATGAAACGAAGCTTTGTCAACATTGATTGACAACAAGAGCTTGATATATCAGTGCAATTGCGAAAGAATATTGCTAAAGCATTGCTATACAGGGTAACGAACAAGAATGCTAATAAAAGGCATTCTTAATCTTCGATTACCACATTATGAAGACCTGTATATACGAGATAGAATAGAATGCTGCTTTCAAATATTGCATCGCCAATATCTGAGTTACATGAGCTTTTTATAATTTAAAATAACACTACCAAACAAGAAAATATCTTCGTTCGATTACTCCTCATTCGCCACCCATCGTCTTTTTTTTGAATGAGGCAACACTCTAAATGTGTATGATAACAAAGAACAAACAAAGTACAAGAAGAAGAGCAAAAGTGACTAAAAAGAAATGAAGTCGAAAGCTTTGTTGGATGCTAATAAAACACGTAATACAAATGTTTTTATGATCAAACTCACAAGTAAATAATAAAATGATTGATAATAATCGTTTTAATGTCATACCACTTATGTGTGATAGATTCAGAAGTACTTTATGATTTTACTTTTCTACGACATTCATTTATTAATGATAAAGTTTGGTCAAGGTCTAATAATGACACATATTTAGTTTAGACCTGGATTTCGACATATGAAAGAAATCCAAATTCATAATTTGGTATCTTTCCTAGGCGAATTCAAAAATAGTTACAATTTATCAAATGACTCCGTTTTATACTTCGAAAAAATATGGTAACCTTATTTTTCATGCTAGGTTTGAAAATCGTACAAGTAATTATTCAACTGAAAACAAATGTGATTCTCGTTAATAACGTGCTTAGCAGAGCAGATTTTGATAGTAGCTGGTACTTTTATAGCTACAACAAACAGTAAATATTTATTTGAAAAATAATATATCAATCAAATTTTCAGAATATTGTCTTGTGACATCAGAGAGAAAGTTTCTGATTTAGTCTAAGTTAAAAAAACAAGTTATTGGAAAATTAGTAATTTTATCTGACTCACGCACGACTTTAACTTAGATATCATACTATAAAAAATACCTGGACTATGTTTATGATACATGGCTATAAAACAGAAGAATATGAATGAATGTTTTTATCTTCAAGTGCTCGAATTTTATTTGCTTTTTTTTTGTATAAAATACTACTGAAAGAAGTGTAGAATATTCATTCTTGTTTTAGAAAGTCAGTGATCTTCATTGTTGATCAATACGTATCATCAGTTTTATCAATTGAAAACGAGACATTTATGTGCTGGAAAAATGAGACGCAACTCTTATCAAATAAAAAGTACCAATGGTAAACGACAATCAAATGTCCTGCCTATTCTTGTCGTTGCACCACAACAGAACGGTCGTCGCATGAGTATGTTCATGAATGGTCAACGTCGATTATCTCTCATGTCGCAGATATCTTTGCCTCACAGTGGAGAATATCGTCCACAACAACGGTTACCACCCAATGGTCTCGAATACCAACAAAATATTCTGCTGACAAACATAACAACAGCAATCAATGATAATCCTAAACTTGTTCAAGTTAAGTCAACTAAAAAACCAAATTCATCCAAAAATCGACCTTCATCTCATCAATGTGATGTTGTCGATAATGAGCAAAAATCTGGCTATGATGAAAACTCATTAGATAGTTGACATTATCTATTGCGGATCACATGGCACTCGTCCAAGGGTGAAGCTCATAAGCAGACCACCGTTGGAATTCAAAATTATGATGGCAAGACTTTGACAATTTTCATTCATAAATAACTCCGCTAGAGAGCGAATGTTTTATCATATAGACTAATATGTCTATTATTGATCTATAATTCAAATAAAATTTTCGAACTCTTCTCTTTTATATCATACGTATATTCATTCAAAGGGAAAGAAAGATGTGCATATGATGTGATGAATTCAAAGGACTCATATCTATATTGATGTGAAAATTTGCTACATTCAACCAATATAGCAAACATCAGTGGAAGAGCACAGAGATTCGAGATAGCTATTTTCATTGCAACTTAAAGAGAGAGCATTACTCGCGAAGAACAATAAAGAACTGCATGATGAAAAACCAAAGTCACTATTGAAAAAAATATTACATTAATATAGATGAGAAAAAGTTCACTTTCACTTTTTCTTATATTTTAATACTCCTTTATATGTATCATAGCTGAAAACCAAAGGCAATTACTGTGGCAACAAATATTTCAGCATACACATTCTTGTGTATGAAATATATCAAGCATAGAAATATACCATTAAAGGAACGTTAATGACCTTGTTCTCTGTACACGTTTATCACTATGGTCTTTGAAGCTTCCTTCCAAAGATCTGGTTGTGTCGAAAGAAATTTCTCCTTAGGCGACTCTGTCAATCCATTATTTGAATATAGAGTTCAAAGACGAAGTTAAGCAAGAAATTTATGTTCGAGCTGAATAGTTATTGTTTCTTTTGACAAGAACAGTGAGCTTGATCTCATCGGAAAATTAACGAATGTTGCTCAAGCTCGACAGTAAAGGTCGTATAGAAGACTAAATAAAGAGTTTTTTATTTCGCTCTTTATTTATCTGGTTTGAACAAAGATCAACCAGAACAATGATGATTAATTGGACTAGGACGTTGAACTATCAATCCAAGTCGAATACGAACGGAAAAACGATAGATTGGTGTGGGTGTGGGTATCAGTGAAACACCCACACCCTCAATGCCTCTGTAATCCTATCATATAGAATTGTAAGTGTTTTGATCTGATTGAACTGTTGAATTAATTTTGTGAACTAGTACTTCGATCTAGACGAGGAAAGTTACGGTTATATTACTAGGTAACTGATAACTGAAAACTTGTTATCATATCGAATTTTGAGAATCCGATTACAAATTTGTTTTCCTTGCTCTCGGAAACCTTTGTGCATACCTTTCTATTGTTCAGCAGACAGATAGTTTTAAGTTAACATCTTTTCTTAGACTATTAAACTGGAAAAACGAACGATAATTAATCCAAATAAAATATTTGTTTCTCTTTAGATTCAACATGAGTTTGAGTTGATGGCAATCGACAAATTGAGAGTATGGATCTGTGTGAAGCTGGAGTCTTTTCTTCACCCGCGACAACATCAACATCTGCAGCACGCGTCCTTACTCCTCAATTTCCTTTACATTCACGATTCATATTTCTCCAATAGACTGATGATTCGTTCTAATTCTTCCTTGTGTTCAATATTTATGCGCTGAACTTTCATAAATCATTTTCAGCAGCAGAACATGCGAAAACTAGGTACTATGGCATTTGATGGCACATCAAAATGGAGTAGTGAAATGGAAAGGATTCTTTAAAAAGCGTAATTGTTCATCAACTGGCGACACCTGATTTCAAAAAAAAATATGATTGATGATTTGTATGTCAATTCGAAGTATGATATAGACTTTAATTATATAAGAAAATGATCAAAAAAATAAAATTTTCTATATTAATAATGTCCTGGAGTTCTTTTTTTTTCATTTGAACCAATGAGTTTCTCGACTAATGTCAGCAGTTTACTATAACTTAATCGTTCTCGTTGTGATGATTCCTTTCTTCATTTCAAACTTAATGCTCTCAATAAGTTTCACTTCCTTACATTCTTATTCTGTATACTTTTTTCGATGGATATAAACTCTGATCTTCTTTCTACTTTAGATAAAAACTTTGTTTTTCATTTTTCCAAACACAACTATGTCTCATTCGAATATTACTCACGGAATGTCTCATGTCGATACCAATGCTGAAGGCAAACCATATCATGGTATTAATTGATTTATTCGAATCGAGAAAATAAAATATTTTTTCTTTGTCGATTATTCAAATTTAGAACATGCAGATAAGAAGGCTCACAAGGAAGCTCATCCACGTACACAATCCGAGAAACACAATCTTAATCCATCTGATGATAAAGATTTTGTTCCACAGGCTGGTCATGAAAATCAGGTACAATCGTTTCTTTTCAAATCATCTATCTCATTATTTATTTTTGTCTTTTCTAGCATACAAAGGTGTGTAAAAAAGAAAGCACGATGATGTGATTCTATGAGCAATTTACTTTTTTTTTCTTCATCTTTTTTTTAGGATAGCAAAGGTAGTACAGATAGTAGTACAAGTGAACATGGCGATCATAAGAAGTAAGGAATAGTGTTTGAGAATTACTTGATTATTTTTGTGTTTTTATTCAGAGATCATGAATGAATGGATGAGAGTACCATCAACAATTTCATCAAGAATATAAAAGTTTCGTTTCTTGTAGTTTTTTTTTGTTTTTCATTTCAATAAAAAACATATAAGATTTTCAAAACGACAAGAATATTTCTATCTATTGCATAAGTAATATTTCAATAGATGATAATCGATATTAGTTGTTGCTTAGATCTGTTATTTATATAACTAAAAGAAAGTTTCATGATTCAATACATTTGTGATAGTAGGAATGTCTGTGCAGATATTGGTGATCACTTTGTCGAAACTGACACCCATACCAACAATTTCAAGTTGTAAATCTTTTTTTAAAAAAAGAATTTTTTTTTTTGCTGAAATTTCAAAGCATTTTGATGGCATTTATAAAAAATTGTTATGAACAGTTTTGTGCGAAAAATCAAATATAAGTAGTTTGAAGAAAAAAAAATAATTTCATTTGGCTAACATATTTCTTGATGGATTTAAAAAATCTCTCTTAAATCACATGTATTAGAATTTGTTTCATCATAATGAATACGTTGAATACAAAATCGAAATGATGATAATGAATGAAAAATCAAAGGAAATAATATTGCATGACATTTATTAAAAATGAAACCTGATTCAATAATAACAAAACCATTATTTAATTGGTTAACATATCAGAACATCGAAACATTTATTCAATGACCAGAAGTATGTTAACAGTTTCAATTACGATAAATTAGAAAATATAATATAAAAGAGTTTCATTTGATAGCCTTTGGAATTTCATAATGATATTGTTCTGAAAAACAAATAAAAGATATTTTTAGTTCATATAATAATGCCTTCGACTGAAGGGAGGGTCATATGAAAAAAAATGCGTTTCTATGTATGTATGTGTCAAGGTCAAAAGAACATCAGGGTCAAAAAAAAACATCTGAGTCAAAAAAAACATCGTCTAAAAGATTCATGCTTAGTTCTTTTCTACATCTATCTCCTGTAAAGTTTAACCAAAGGTTTTCAGGGTCGGGGAATGGATTAGTACCATTGATTTTTGAAAATTTTCAAATTGAGTTTTTTTTTACTAAAAAAAGACATAGGTGACGTTAGTAGCCGATTCGAGTGATTCCGGCAGCGATTTGCCTAGGAACTTGGTTCAAGATTCATATTTCAAATCATAAACAAAAAAATAACTATTTGAATCAATGGTTTATATTTCAATGGTCAAGATTTTTATTACCCATTATCAGTATGATTATTATTGCTTGTTATAGTTCAATATTTAGCAAAAATTTTTGAAAATGATCAATAGATATTAATTGCTCTTCGTATGACACAAACTGATACTATTGAAGCAGCTTTTCCAACTATGAAAATGACACTTATTGGAACTCTTTCAGGTTAATTTATTTTAAAAAATACCTTGAACAAAATATTTATTTCTTATATACGTGCAATGTGATCATAAGTAACATATTTATTAGTTCATGATTACATATTTAAGATCTTTATTATATTAATTCCATATCCAACTTAATTTTCTAAATATTGTTATACAGCAGCTGAATCTAATTTACTCAAATCCTTATTACTTTACGTCGATTAGCATATCGACATTGATTATCAACTGGTAATTATGCATTACTTCCTATTGATGAATATCTAGTTGAAATGTTAAATGCAATTGTTTTAACAATAAATATTTCTTAGTTTTTGCAATTGATCTCTATCAAAGCAAAATATTCAAAGAAACAAAAACAAAACTTAATAAATAAATAAAATAAAATGAATTTACTTTATCGAGAGTGGGTGTGGGTATGAACACAGAGGACATCCACACCCTTTATTATGCATCTCATAGAGCACCTTATTGCCTATTCAAATCACTATTTGGTTTTGAGATAGATGAATGATATTTAAAAAAAAAACCAAAATCCCTTGTTCTTATAATTTTTAGCAAGCAGTGTCTGTAAATATATTGATGAAAATATATACAATTGATGATTCTATGACATAAAAAATAGCTAATGTTATTCATGAAAATCTTGCTTATTTTAGATTTTTATTCATTTATATTAAATAATCAAATATTTTATTTTTAGAAACTTCATCAACAAATTTAAATTAGCCATGCAGCAATTCGAAAATTCAGACATATAATCAAATTTGCTAATAAAAGTTTTTCAGCAAGCAATTTTCAGCTTTTATGAGAAAATTATAGATTTATCTTAATATTGAAAATACATTTTGAAATTAAAAAGAAATCTTTTTTTTCAGATGTTCGATATAGAAACGAAATCGAATGTTTTTGTTCTGATTGGTAACTTTTCTGAAACGATGATCAATATATTTTTTCGTTGTCTCAATCAATCGATTCTGATACATAGCTTGAGTTTTTTATGTCAATGATTCCATCGAAAGTTTTGCAATGTGAAAATTTAGTTGTCGACCTATTTTGATTATAAACATGATCATAGCTTACATATAGAACGCCTTGTTTGATATGTCATCAAGATTTATTTGCTAATATGTAGTTTGCGAGACAATCGAAGCAATATATTTTTCATAAAGTATAAAATCATTTGTATTTATTGAAAATTGAAAATATATCCTGCATACAAGTCCTTCAAAATAGATTAACAAATGGTATTTCACCAGCTGTTGACCAAGTCCATCGTTCCAATTCCATGTCATTAACAACAACAGAAAATGTTCAAACAGTTATTCTTGGTTCGCCTTATCTTAAATTATTCTTTTAAAATCTGATAAGTATTTCGTTTATATAGAATTAATACCAAGTTTAGCAGTGGCATATATTCCTGGTTTTTCAGCTTATAGAGTTTTTACGTGTATTCGGTATATTGATTTTCTTCATGGTGAACCACATGTTGCTGGATTTTTATTAGCTATTATTAAAAAAATCGAAAAAGTACTACAAGTAAGAATAGCTATTTCTATTTTCGAGTGAAAAAAAAACCTGAATTATTCCAGAGAAATGAAAATTTTGATTATTCAATCTTATGAACGACAAATATAATTTATTTTGCGCTACGTTAAAACAATATAGTGGGGGAGAGGTATGTTTATTATTTAATATTATTCATAACATAAATAAATAAATTAATAATAGAAATATTAAGTTACAAATACTGGAAAACAAAATGCATAAGCCTTAAGAAATTCTGCTTTTACTGATTATCAAACTATTTTTGATGATCTTGTTGTTCGTTTCAAGCAAAATTATTAACAATGATCAGCAAGATTATTATTCCTATTTGAAAATAGAACATTTCATTCTTTTGTTTTGAATTCTTGCTATGATTCAACATGAAAATCTTGATTCAGTTGGTATTGCATCTGTGAATCTAATGGCATTTTACATCCAGAGACTGCGTAACGATTTTAATCTAAGAGAAGCTCAAAATTTTTCAGGCAATAATAGAAGTATGAGATAACCACAGAGGGACGATTTCGTATCTTTCCTACTATAACCCATTTTAAAGAGATATCTGTTATCTCGATATGTTTTCAACAGAAGTTAATACGCATACATTTTTTGTATAAGCAAATCATGTAGTCTTAAAATTTCGTCTAAAGATTCGCAGTTAAATTTGCGAATCATTCATAATTTATGTTTGTTTTTGAGATTTACTCGATTCAGGGTGTGGGTATGGGTTGAGAACAAGACACCCACACCCACCCTAGCACGTTTAATTGTTGTGTTTTCCTTCAATTGTTCATTGAGTATTGTGTTTTGAAATCATGTACGTTTTTTAGCTACTGTAGAAATTCGATATTGTATCACCTTGTCGTCATGCTTTAATACTGCACTTTCTTCTTGACTCGTATTGACGAGTCGATAAGTAGTGGAATGTTTTTCTTGACCCCATGAACCATCAATTTTTTTATGTTTTGAGTGACGTGGATATTGATTGTGCTTATTACGAAATCGTTCTTCTTTCGTACACGCATTGTTTAAATAACAACAGCATTTGTTTTCGGTCCCATCAATTAGTTCATAATAAGGTGACCGTTCAATTCGTCGCAATCAAAATTCGTGCGATCAGTTCGTTCTATATAATGGAGAGAGCACATTAATTGAATTAAGTGATTTACTTTCGTATTTTATTTCATTAATCACGTCAATGTACACTATTATGGAATAATTAGATCTACATAATGAATAGAAGATGCACTTTGGAGAAAGAATTAATTTAGCTCTGTAAAAAAAAATAAAGAAGTTCTTCTATTACAACGAAAATACTCTGATATTGAATGAGACTCGACTCAAGTCCTTTAAGGACACAACTTCTTAGGAAATCCTGAAAAAAGAAAAACAAGAAGAAACGAAAGGAATATGCGCTCTTTCTTTGTCTGTATGGTTCGCTCAGTATTTTCTGAAACAATTATCTGTGATTCGCAAAGCTATTCGATCAGTGGATAAAGTGATTTTGAAATTTTCGATGCCATAGAATTAAAAAAAATAATTACATAGGTTTTATAATGTTCTGTCATTCATTCATTGAATATCATTTTTTTAGAGGTGGCGAATTTAAGTTTAAAAAAATTTAATGAACAAAATTTCTTTTTTCTTTAAATGCAAAGCTACGTTTAAATTATATTTTAATTGAAAGCTAAATTTATTTTTAACTTATCTTTGTAGAATTTTATTTAGAATTAAACTTTTATTTTGGGCAATTTAAGTTTACAATAAATAAACTCTAAATCGACACTTCTATATTATTTTTAAACAAAAAAATCGTGTTATCAAGAAACAGTTCTACTATAAAACATCAAAATGCTTAATTAAATAACATACGAAAGTAAATCACTTAATTCAATTGATGTACTCTCTCCATTATATAGAACAAACTGATCGCGACGAAGTGTCTTGCGACGAATTGTACTAATATTGATAAAAGTATATTTATAATGTATATATGTGTATCACAACTAGCATGGAATTCAAGAACTTCGGAATCATGTCATATGATACATTCGTATTATGATATATCAATATGACTTTGTCACTTTTACATTCAAAATAAATTGAAGGTATAGATTTCTGTCTTTAATTCCTACAACTTTCTCGCATTTCCAATTTTAAGACTACGAAGTGTTATTGATCAATTGACAAATCCTGACGTCTCTTACTTAACCATTGTTATGTTAACAACATGAAAAAAATAATCTTTTTTTGTATAGGAAAGGTTTTGAGTAATGTGAGTTTCTAATTCCATCATACTCTTTGTTCATCTCTTTATGATTAATATTGTATCAAAAGCTTCAAATCGACTGTCAATGAAATAATAGGAAAAAAGGAGATTCTTAGAAAGGATATCTGCGATAAAAAAAAAGGAAGGGGTAGAACATTGAAAAAATATATCTTGGATTTTTTGATACTATCTCTCTTTGAAGAGACATATTAATCTGCAGCTGTTTAAAGAACAAATTCTTCGATAATTTTTACTATGTGAGTCGTGATATTTTAATCTGGTTGACTTGGAAGATTTGTTTCGATTAAATTAGAGCTGATTAAAATTAAAAATATCTTTATCTTGTATAGAATAGACGGGTCTAATGATCTATAGAGCATCCTGACAGTTTTAGCTAAAAAATCTAACTCAACTTCAAAAACTTGTGAAGACAAATTCTCTTAGAGCTTTTCTATTCTTACCGAGACCTCCATCATAAGCATAATATAAGTGGAAAGTCTCATAGAAATTGATGCATTGATACATGTTGCAAAATATTCTTAGCTCTACTAACTTCGTCATTTAATCGAAACAGAATTTTCTAATCACTTAGATTAAAATATTTTCAAAAAATTCAACAAAATAACTATCTTTAATATTGGATACTTCCTACACAACAAATAATTTTAGAGTTATCAATGATATTTGATTAGCTATTCGAATTTTTGTTTTAAAGATTTTTTATCATTTCAAGTAAACATTCATCGAACTATAAGTTTCAAAGCAACAAGCTACAATTAATCATGAATATGTCATCAGCACACGAATGTGAAAGTATCAACTGATTTATATCGAACAGTTTTACTTGTTTTTCATCCATTTCTTTCTCTAATAAATAAATTTGATTTAATTTTTAACTACTGATCTCTTTATCTACTCAATGAAGAAAAAAAAACGCATGCTGAAATATCTATCAACATTTTTACTCTTCGATATTTCTACTATCAACCACAGTTGACATTATCATGATAAATATGTATTCGTCAATCTTACTCAATACATTAAGACATAAATAAAAACCAGGTCAATTGAATTAGTATTCTCACATATTATTATTTATTTGAGAAAGGAAAAAAAAAACGAAAAATACTTCAACTATTGTTTTGTTATTAAATAGCAGCAATAAGCAATTAGCAAAAGACATGTTTGAAATCAACAAAGATATTAAAAGATAAATAGATAACTGTACGAAAAAAAATACATGCAAATTTGCAAAGAAAAAGGATTAATTATTCTTTTGTTTTAGTCATTAAACAAAAAAAAAAGGAAAGAGAAGATAACATTGAGTTATAATATGTGAGAAGAATCTTGTAGAAAAGAAAACATCATACAATCCTGAGTTCACTTTATACAAGAGAGACAAAAAAAAATTAACTACTTCAATCTTTTCCTTCTATTCACTAAGTTGTTTCGAAATAATATAAATAAAACAAAGAAATCTATGCTGTAAATTTTTTTATCGCTATTTTTCATACAAAAAAAAAAAGAAAAAGAAAATTTCATCATCACTTTTGTTTTCCTTTTGTTGCGTATATAAAATCACAGATGTGCAGTGTAATAAAAATCAATCAATCAACACAACAAAGGAACAAAAACTATATAAGAAAAAGTTTGTTTGTTTTTTCACTAATTTATTTTTAAGTTATTGCCATTTAATATGTCCATATGCTTGAAGACCTGATAATGTCAAATAACCAATCCAAAGAACTACGAAAAAGATCGCACATAGATATTTAGGTATTGCTGGTCCACCTAGAAAATAAATAAATATCAAAAAAAATAAAATCTTTTTTTCTGGTTCGTTTTTCTTTACCTAATTCTGCTTTACCAAAAACACCCAAATATCGACGAAGTATAAGTACAGTCATACAAAGAATACAACAAATAGAAAATACGAATACACTGAATGATAAATCACCTGCTTTAACCGTAAATGGCAGATTCTTGAAAATAAAAAAAAATAAATATGTTCACTTATTTTCTTTCTCTATTATCAAATCTCTTTAATTTTCTTACTTTTGATTCCCAATAAATAGCAGCAACAAGCCAAGGTAGACCAAGACCAAGAAATACATTAACACTATTTGAACCTGTAACATTTCCAATAGCATCATCAGCTGTTTTAGAGTTTTTTGCTGCAAACATTGATGCAAATGTATCAGGTAATGATGTACCAAGTGCAACAAATGATATAGCTGTTATACTATCTTTTAATCCAACAAGACAACCAAATATAGCAGCAACATCACCAACAATAGCCGTAAGTATAGCAATGAAAATAAGTGAAAAAATAAATGTTAACCAACCACCAGCTATTGATGTTGGTGGTACAAGTGCAAAGAGAACTTTCCAAAAAAATGATATTGCATGACCAACATAACTACCAAATGTTGCTGTTCCTATGTCACCACCATTTACATTCATAGCTTCACGAAATTGTTGTCCCCATGTTGTTTTTGTTACACTTAATTGATCAAGATCAATTTGAACAAGTGATGCCAATTTATTTGCCATTGATTTATAATCTAAATAAAAAATAATAGAAAAATATAAATTTTGAAAAATGTAATTTATTGTTTGTATGTTTATTATGAAACAAACTATACCATCATCATTTATGATTGTTACAACTGTTTTTGAATGTTTTCCTAATTTTGCACCACCTTTTGGATCAAATAATTCAACAGCAAAACTTTCATCTTTTTCAGCTTCAAAATCATCTATAATTGATATAGCTATTACTTTTGATATTTCACCATGTTCAAATACTAATTCCTTGTCGACAACATCTAAAACAACAACAACAAACAATGAATTGATTTATATTTCAGAGAACATATTGTCTTAGAAAATAGAAAAAAATTAGAACATCTGATAGTGAAGTCTAACAAATTTGTAATAGAGTTGTTAACAGGTCACTTTTTTTTTCGTCTAGTCTGTAGCTAAATTGATTTTCAACAAGATTACGGAAAAACATAACAAAGGTATGTATGCCAGAATACATAGAATAAAACAATCTCTCTTTGATAGGCGACAAAAGCCATATCGTCTTTCACTATTTTTATTCTGATTTTCTCTTCTGCAAGGGCAACTTAAAAACATAGCAAATCAAAATAATGACACAAATATAATAAATATTATTCACACAACAGAAGCTTAAGTTAATTCAATGTTTTTGATCACATCAGTACTGTCTAAGCAAGTTCTTCCATCAATCAATGTTAATCCTAAAATATTAAATTGATGTTCAGTTCAAGTGTTTGTTGCTGAAATCGAATGAATTTGTCAAAATACTCGCGAATAATACACCTATGCATCAACACTTGATTTCGAGAAAGTATGAGTCACGCCAACAACTTTGGTCTAGACTAGCAAGCGCCTATCAGGCAGTAGTTCAGTTCGAGAAAAGTCAGTTGAAACTTTTGACGTGAAAAATCTGTACTTTAGTTGAAATTTAACATCTAAGAATTCGGTAACTTTTTATGACCATAATTAATTCTTTCAGAATGGTCTGAAGCACTCATTATCCAATGAGAAAGCATATGTGATATCAACGTTTGGAGTAACATCAATCAAACGAGCGAACTACACTAATATTCATTTCAGAGTTAAGTGAACATGAGTATTTTTTGAATAATTTAAAAAAAAAACGAGAGAAAGAATTCACGGTTTCAGCATGATGTAGAGTTGACATTACTGTATCTTTTTATTAAGTCCACGAAAAAATCCAATGGCTTTCCTTCTGAGATATAGCATTGGTATTAAAGATGATCTTAATTCCGTTTGAAAAGTATATGCCTTTTCTTCAAAAGATGTAAACAATTTTTACTCATCAAAATTTTTTCCAAATCTAAACAGTTAACGAATATATTTTTATAGAAGTATTTAGTCATCTTCCCTTTCATGATATGATTCATTAAACTCTAGAGTAGGGGTTGGCAGTTACCGTTACCGTTCCCGGGTAACGGAACAGTTACCAGTTACCCGGGAACTGGTAACGGTTCCGTTACCAGTTACCCGGGAACGGGGTAACGGTACTACAATTGGGGCCACCTTTAGATCCTAAAGTCGTACTATTGGGGGATACCCTGAGGTCCTCAAGTGCTACTATTGGGAGACACCCTTAGGTCCTCAAGTCCTATTAATGGGGAGTACCCTTTGACCCTTAAGTCCTATTATTGGGAGATACCCTTACGTCCTCAAGTCCAATTCTTGGAGGGTACCCTTGGGTCTTCAAGTCCTATTATTGGGGGGTACCCTTGTGTCCTCAACTCCTCCTATTAGGGGGTACCCTTTGACCCTCAAGTCCTATTATTGGGGAATACCCTTGGGTCCTCGAGGCCAAATGCCTAAGCAGCATACTCGCCGTATGGAACTGAGTAGGAGCCCATACATATACCCATCAATCGATAGAGCATCCTCGATAACCCTATGATTGGCCCGAACACGGCTATGTCTTGTCCGAACAATAAGAGGAAAAAGGGCTCCTAAAATCTGATTGGTCTATTTTTGGACCAATCAGATAGCAGGATTCTATTTCTCAATGATGGGATTGGCGGAGACCCCCACATATACCCATCAATCGATAGAGCATCCTCCATAACCCTATGATTGGCCCGAACACGGCTATGTCTTGTCCGAACAATAAGAGGAAAAAGGGCTCCTAAAATCTGATTGGTCGATTTTTGGACCAATCAAATAGCAGGATTTTATTTCTCAGTGATGGGATTGGCGGAGACCCCTACATATACCCATCAATCGATAGAGCATCCTCGATAACCCTATGATTGGCCCGAACACGGCTATGCCTTGTCCGAACAATAAGAGAAAAACGGGCTCCTGAAATCTGATTGGTCTATTTTTGGACCAATCAAATAGCGGAATTCTATTTCTCAGCGATGGGATTGGTGGAGACCCCCACATATACCCATCAATCGATAGAGCATCCTCGATAACCCAATGCTTGGCCCGAACATGCCCATCACGTGTCCTCGCAATAGGGGCAAAAAGTTTGAACCCCCTTGGGTACTTTTCAGTAGTCAGACTTGAGAACGCAAGAGTACCCCCAATAGCAGGACTTGGGGATCCAAGGGTATCCCTCAATAGTAGGACTTAAGGACCTAAGGGTATGCCCCAATAGTAGTACCGTTACCCCGTTCCCGGGTAACTGGTAACGGGCCGTTACCGTTCCCGAGTAACTGGTAACTTCTTTCGTGTGAACCGTTACCGTTACCGTTACCGGGTAACTTCTTTCGTGTGAACCGTTACCGTTACCGTTACCGGGTAACGGTCTGGGAACGGTAACTGCCGACCCCTATTCACGATAGGTAATATCACTATAAAAAAAAAGAACATTTCTTCTATATTTTTATTTCAATAACGTATAAGAGAACTACGCAAGGAGATAAAAATGTAACTTTAGTACTTCGAAGTACTGGACAATGGGACTAGTAAAAATCTATAAGGGTTTGTTCTTATAACATCTTTGATGCCCAATTATGACCGGTTTACTGAATTTTCGAACCAAAATTTTGCTCATAGATACGTACATTGGCTATTAGAATACCGTGAACGTTTCAGTCAAAAAGAATGTTTCTTTGCCGAGTTATTGCACTTTCCAGTAAACACATTTTTAATGACATGTATTGTTTTTTTTTTAGAAAGCCAACACCTTAACGAAGAAATATTCTAAGAATCATTAGACTTGTCGATAGACAAGATTTTAGCTTGAAATTCTATTATTTAATTTTCGAGAGTAATCAACAGATGAATTGAAAACTCAATAAAACGATCATAACTCAATTTGTCAGACCTACATGGATGAATCCTTTTAGGCTTTTGATAGTTTCATCATTAGCAAATATAGATAGATGTTTAGAATAATAGTTCGATGATTGAATAAACTCATACATTTTTAGTACATATGTATTTTGTAAATCATTTATAAGAGATTGTATTACATATAATGATCTTCAGATTTGTTAGCAGTTATTTGACTTACGTTCGTAATCTTTTTTGCCTGTAGCATCAATATCTTCTGTTCGATAATGAACAGTAACGCGTCCATCGGCACCATTAACACGTACAACTTTTATTTCTGCGTTTCCAACACTTTCTTTAACTAAAGTAATTACTTCTTCAAATTCAATATCACCAGGTTCTAAGAAAAAAAAAAAAAATTTTATTCTTTGTTATTTTATTATTATTAAACTCATTTACCATCATCATTAATAATTGTAATAAGTGCAATTGTTTTTGTA